TGCGGAAATGTATTTGCTTTTTGCAACAATAATGCTTATGCCTCATGTCTATAAGCATAATATAAAAGCATACTGGTCCACAGATCGGCTAATTTCTACCCCGGTCTTCAGTGAAATCATCCCAGTGAACAGGTTTATCTTACTGTTGCGTAGGTTGCACTTCTCTGACAAAACCAGGCCTGACAGAAGTGACAGGTTATGCAAGATTAGAAATGTTTTTATGTATCTCAAACAAAAGTTCAGCATGTTCTTTTCTCCATTCAAGAATCTTGTAATTGACGAGTCTTTGATTTTGTTCAAAGGTAGTCTGTCATTCAAGCAGTATATACCGAGCAAGAGGAAACGCTTTGGTATAAAACTGTTTGTACTCTGTGACTGTGACAGTGGCCTGGTATTGGATATTGTTGTATACACGGGAAGTAAAACATTGAAAGATACCAAGATGTTATTGGGTATCTCAACTAACCGCTAACATTGACAATCATCTCTTTCTTATCATCTGCACTACATCTATGTGTAATCAAACATTCCAACTTTATGAAGTTTTTCTTATGCTTAATAATTTATACAGGAGAAGGGGTTACTAGCCCCTTGCTCCCAGCATTTTAGCCGCCTTTTACGACACATGTGGCTTATGTAGGAAGGATTCTTTGCACTTCCTCATGAAGATTAAAGGAAATAAATTAGAACAAGAACTATTACGAAAATAGAAAACTCAGATGGATGTGTATACATGTACATGTATGTGCATGTATAGTGACCTATGCATGAGTAGAAGTTGCAAGATGCATGTACCTGTTATCCTGCAGTTTATGAGACCGAAGGAAAAGACATGTTAGGAAGTATTTCTTTAGTCTTGGGGTGCTTGATATGAAAAAAAGTTAGATGGTGAAACATTATACCAGTGAAGACTTCATTGTATTAACCCCTTCAGGGTCCAAGGCCAAAAATCTGAAGTGGTGCTCCAGTGTCCAAGAAATTTTGAAAAAAAAAAAAAAAAAAATTATTTTTTCTTACAGAATTAAAGAGCATATTTTTGTGAAGGTAATAAGACGAAAAAAAAAATTCTGATCAGTACTTACCGAGATACAGTGCCAAGAAGTTTGTCGAAAATGATGTGGTGGCGGCAACATCGACGAATTCCACATACGCGCATTACATTATTTTGCGGTTTTTGTTGTTTTTTCTTTTCTTTTCCAATTTTTTTCTATTCCTACTAACATTTGGGGCCTGAGAGACCAATACTGTATATAATGTATATATATAAACTCACTGTATTGAACACAATAACCGCACTAAAGTTATTATCATATTACAGTGGACCCCCGCATAACGATGGCATCACATAGCGATTATTTCGCATACCGCTTACTTTAATTGCAAAAATTTTGCCTCACATACCGCTTAAAAACCCGCTTACCGATTTTCGTCCGAGACGCGTCCAATGTGCGGCCTGAGCCACGCTCACATGTTCCGCCGGTGGCATTGTTTACCAGCCAGCCTCCGCGGTAACATCCAAGCATACAATCGGAATATTTCGTATTATTACAGTGTTTTCGGTGCTTTTTCTGGAAAATAAGTGACCATGGGCCCCAAGAAAACTTCTAGTGCCAACCCACAGCAAAAAGGGGAGAATTACAATAGAGATAAGAAAAAGATCATTGATAAGTATGAAAAGGGGGA